CAGTTTCCAGTTGTGATCCTAAGTTGAACCATTAGTGTTGACTTGAAAAAAAACGCTTGTAGTTCCATCCCATCTCTCCCTCTCTCACATCAAAACGTCGACGATAATCCAGGAAGAGCAGATTCATCCGCTGAATTTGAAGTGATTTAAGGCAACTCCAGTAACTCCAAGATGGATTTCGAACCACGTCACTGTACTTTCTCAGTCAGGCCCCATTCGAACTTGGTAAGAAGACAAATGACAGCTAATCCGTATTCGAGGATCGGCAGCACATAGGAACTAAACAGGGATTCTGAAGATTTCCGGAGTTAATCGTGAGAAAGTTCTCCATATGGCATAGGACATTCTGCTCGCAGCGACAACCCTCCTTAATGTGGCCTCTGTAGTCCTTAAATCACATGACACAAGCACACCGAGGTCCTTCTCAAAAGTGGTGGCTCTGAGTAATACCTCACCAACAAGGCACGTCCCCAATGACTCAGGGGTGCCTAGGGGGCACTGAGCACTTTTATGGAATTACAGGCAATTGCCATTTGAATGGTCACACATGTACCACGTCCAATGACATCCGTAATCTGTCAGCATCCCCAAGATATAATACCTTCAGTCACAGTCATCGGCGTAAATCGGACAATCCGACTGAATTTCCGACGGGACATTATTGATGAAGATCATGAAGGATTCTGAACAAAGGACCGATCCCTGCACGACAACTCTTATCATGAGCACAGGAGCGGAGTCGGTTTCGTTCACCTTGATTCGCATGGATCGGGGCTCCAAGAAATCAGTGATCCAAGAAAGATCGTTCCCAGAGACAACGGTTCCTCGCAGTCTGAGAATGTGTCGTTCATGGTGTGCCTTGTCAAACGCCTTGCTGAAGTCTACCAAAACAACATCCAGACGTTTTTCAGCATCTAATGGCCGGAATTTAATCTAGTTTGTTTGTAAGACTGCGCACAATAGCGGAAATTACGCGCACTTCGTTCTTCAACCCTAACACAGCGAATTATTGGGATGTTCCAGATTATGCGAAAATTCACAATGTATAAGCCTGTCTCGCCACTATCACGGCGGGATCAGAGTTCAGCAACCGCTTTCTTCATTTTCACACGATCCTTCGGGGAGAGGTCTCGCAATAGGTAAAATGGTTCAGCTTTAAGACGCGGAGCTCGTTGGAGCATTCCACATGCTTCGTCATAATTTTTACGTACAATCACAACTGGACAAATCTTGGAGAAGTCCTGCTGTTTCCTGCCGAGGAGCAGGAACAATGATTCTTTGCTCAACTTTATCGAACCATTCATCTCAGAACTCTTGTACACGCAGTATCCTTTCAGATGAGGTAGTTTTGGTCGACTCAGATGTATTCATGATGATAATGCTGCGGTCACGAGAGGTGGTTTGGCATTTCCAGGAATCTGCGGTTTATGATAAGGCGGATCATCTTTAAGTAATTTTTCCAGGTGACCGAGGATATCGAGAACCACTTTCAACTGCGATTGAGAAGTCGATGAATTAGGTTTGGGCCTAATTCACGTATGTCAAAGTAGCGGTATATTTTAACCAGAGGGAGCAACGACTAAAAATATGTGCGGGAAAGCTGTAAAAATGAGTTTCAGTGAGGACTGCACAAGATTCTCGTCACATTGTTAAAGAGAGTACTGAGCTGGCCCTACAAAACATTAAATGTTGGGTTCTAGTTAAATGTAAATAGATTTACTCTAAGAGAATACAAAACAACAAAAAGTACTTGCGTTACGGATATGAACATCGCTCATATCTAAAATAACTTTTGTGGCGCTCGATTACGCGTATCCTCTCGGACTGGTATTTACTAGTCCTCGTAGTATTTGACTGGTCGAGGATTCCGAGGGTTTCCGTAACTGATGTGTACGTGGGTCGTTGTAGACTTGCGGAGCCGCAATGCAAAGCAATTACCTCATAGGTGGCTGGATGCTCATATCAAAACCACCTAGTATGAGACCACAACAAACGAAACGTGAAGGTAAACAGAAGAGGAAGCAGCAATGGCTGTCTAAGTGAGGTGACAAGATCTCCTTACCTTAGGGATCACCGCAAGGTCACGCTCGGACCAGCTGCAGTCCTACAAATTCGTGACCCCGATTCACACGCAAGAATTTAAGATTTTTTCGTCGTTTGTATTTTTTGGTGAGTTCGTTCCTATTTCACGAGTTTATACGTGTACTTATGTGTTGCTTGCGTAAGTTCAAGTTTCCTCGTGTTTCTGTTCAACTATGATCTTTTCGATGCATAACTCGAAGGTGACCTCTGAGTCGTTTCACAGCGTTGACATGCTGAGTTTGACTGTTTCAAGTTTCATGGAACACAGCCCAGAGGCACGGTTTGCCATATTCGAGATCGAAAATTAGGGTATTCAGACGGACCGTTCGAGGTACAATCAGCTCGCCACACGCCTTCTTCCGTCGGTTGTGACGCTGGTTCAGGACCTTCTACTCCGCCCATCAAATGAGGCGAAGTAAGAAACGATCAAGCAAGCGATTTAAAGGGAGCTGCAGCCCAGCGCACGGGCTTAATGTGAACAACTCAATGGTCTCAAACTGGGAGATCGCAAGCCATCGACGTTGATCTGCGAAATTCAGTGTATCGCTGGTCGCTTATTCTTGAGCGAGGAAGGCATAAAGGAGCTGTAAAGTGCACGTCTACAAGAGCCATGGTCGGTAATGCTGTCCATGTTTCTAGATACGCCCCTGAAAAACTAGTTACCAATAAGACGCTGAGTTCGAGTCTTCCGTAGAAAATGATCAACATCTTCCCTGACGTATTCTCACTGATGAAAATCGAATCTCACATTGGTTCCAAGTCGTCAGGCCGATCTGACCCTAAAGACGAGGTAGTTCCGCCATTTCACAATAGGGTAGCAGCAAGGAAGGCTTCGAAGCAGCGTGTGCCACGGTCAGACGCTGACCACCTTTTGGTTATCGTTCATTGCGGTTCGGCTGTGCCGGCGCCGAGTACGTCTCGCTCGACACGAAAGCGCAACATTTTCTCTACACTTTCTCATTCAGATAATACCAAACCCGTCGAGGAATTATGTTGGTAGCATCGCCAAGATGATGCAGAACCTGGACGTTGTCAGGCTCCCTGTATTAGGCACGAATCAGCCGCGTCAGGTAAAGTGAAAAGCCAGCATACTAGCACAATCAACGCATCCAGCAACCACAAAACAAATCGCATATTTTACGTTAAGGATCCACGTCCTTCCATCACTTTCCTCATCTACACCGGAGCGGAAGTGAGTGTCATCCCTGAGAACGCAAACGATAAGCATTCAAACCCCGCGTACAACCTACGCGCGGCCAACGGTTCTCCGATAGCTTAATTCGGTTAGTATATGATGAACCTGGACTTCAATCTCCACCGATATCCTCAGTGCGCTTTCATGGTTGCGTCTGTATCTTTCGCTTGTAACGGCATCCAATTCATTCGTTATTTCGAATTGCTTGTCGACGCGGGTCGCCATAGACTTTTATATGACCATACCAAACTAGGGGTTGATGGTGTCCTTACAGATGCCCCGATAATCAGCTCTGTTTCCGGGTCGCAGACGCACCGTCCGACAACATGAGCATCTTCTCCGAATACCCGCGACTGGTACGACCGGCTGCAGACCTTCCACCCATCAGGACAGAGGTCGCTCTCTAACTAATCACGCGAGGTCGACCAGCTAGCGTACGAGCAAGACGGCTTTCTCCGGACAAAATACGTGCAGCACGAGCTGAGTTCTACCACGTGCTTCAGCCCGGTATCCTCAGACCATCCAACAGCCCATGGGCGTCACCTCTTCACCTAGTCCAACCGGTCAAGAAAGATTTCATTCCTTGTGGCGATTATCCAACCTTGAATACGGTTACCACGCCCGATTGCTATCCGATCCCACACATCATGGATCACACTACCAGTCTGGCGGGTAAAACGGTTTTCGCAAAATCGACTTGGTACGCACGTACAAGCAAGTCCCGGTAGCTGAAGCGGACATCCCTAAGACTGCTGTGACGACTACATTTGGTTTGTTCGAGTTTTTGCGCATATGATTTGGTATAAAGAATGCTTAACAAACTTTTCAACGCTTGATCGATTAAGTTTGTCGAGGTTTAGACTTCACCTACGTGTATCTCGACGACATCCTAATCGCGAGCTCTTCATGCAAGGAGCACTTTTTGACTGTTTATCCCAACACGGGGTAACGATCAACGCACAAAAGTGTTCGTTTGGTGTCGATTCCATCACTTTTCTCGATCATCGTATCTCCTCTGCAGGCGTCATGCCACTGCAGGATAAAATGCAAGCCATCAATGACTATCCTGAGCCACCATTTTCCAAACAGCATATGCGTTTTGACGGGCTTGTTAACTTTCACCGACGGTTCATACTGAACTGCGCGTCATTGATACAACCCCTCACGGACCTTCTCCGAGGGAAGTACAA